ACAGCATTCCATGCACCTTTAGCATTTAGTCATGCTGGCCATATGACCACAGAGATGTCTTCGGCTGGCTCTTTAGCTTTGAAACAAAGTTGAGCATCGCCCCCTAGAGTTGGGAATGACTAGTACATATGAGCGAGGGGAACCTTTATCTTTTACTTTAGGGTACACTTTGGGAATGATTTAGAAGTATTTGGGGCTAAAAGCAAGCACAGCCCCTTTCTGCAATTCATTTCAGGGGTCTGTGCATTAAAGTTAATGCAACTATTAAAGCAGTGGATCTTCAGTACTGCCCCCCAAAGGTTCATGAAAAAGCCTGGAAAAATGTTTTTGATAACTAGTATTGCTGCAATCAAGCATGTCTGCAGTACTTCTTCATTTTGATGTCTGAAGAGAGCACGCTGTACAGCCTGCTAATCAGAATTCACTTGAATTATCCCCATCTGGCTGATTATCCTTTGTGCCCACCCATAAGTCCTGCTCTCTTTGGGTGGGTCTAATAATTATTCCACACATATACTGCTGCACGCCAAAGAAAAGAACTTTCTATAATTTCTCTGTTTCCTGCTCCCACCTCTGCCTCATTTTCTGGTGGTTCACTAGATAGCAAAAACAAAAAGCAAAACCCCTCCAAATCCTGAGACTGAGGCTGAGAGATTATGCTGAGGAAAAAATCAATTGTAAAAAAAAAGTACATTAATGCATGTCAGAAACCTGCAGACCTGTGTTGAAATTTGCAGCCATTGTGGCACAATGTTAAATATGGGAAAAGCTCTTTTTTGCTCAGAGATGCTGGGAAGAATGGAGGAAGATCAAATTCTAAGCAAAACATGAAGCTCTCTGCAGGAAGATATCATCAAATATTATGGTTTGGTCTGTTTGGTTTCATTTTCAGAGAAAAATGGCATGGTGAACAGGCTGGACTGACTTATCCATTAGTAGCCACAGGGCCTAGGGTCAACGAAATTATTATAGTAATGACAAAAGACACCACAAAATCACTTAATATGCTTAATTGAAACAGGCAAGGGATGCATAAAATATGAAGCTCAAACTAATGGAATTATTTGTAATCTATAGACATAGCATGAATACTACAATATAGCAGCTTTGATGATACAACACAGACTTCATCATTAATTACAAAATGCACATATATATGCAATATTTCTATGAAGAATTGAATAAAATATTCAAAATTATATTAAATATAATTTTAATAACGTAATTTTTATGGAGGGAGAATCTATAGATGCAGAAGTGCCTAGGGTCCACAAAAATCATAATGCAGCCATGGGAACAGGGAGTGGAAGGAATGTCATGAAATCTCTTCCTTGCAAAATTTAATGTTATCATAGTGCTGGATCATGTTGAGGACTTCAAAGGAAAAAATGTTTGCTTTTACAAAAAAGAAATGAGGCATATAAGCCAGTTTGGATATAAAAAGCGTTTTGTCCCATAAAACTATAAGTAGAAAAACTTTTGGAGGACTTAAAATGATGCCTGAAAATTCTGCTCAACTACTTAATTAATTCAAAACTCGTATATGAACCATCAAAACCAAGCAATTTAGATTCTGACAAACTTTTAGTGTTTCCGAGAACTAAATTCTAAGCTTGGGACATAAGAATTTGAGGTCTTTTGAGGTCTTTTTCTGAAGTAATCATTAAACAATGTAGGCAGACATACCTCATTTTTCTCTAACTGTGCCATGAATTTGGAATACAGTGAAATGATCATGCAACAGTGTCCATTCAAAACAACAGCTTTTTGTAACACTTTAAATAGTGACAGATTTATTGTTTTTATGGACTACATTCACATCAAAAGCAATAAATTTAACCTTGGCATATGATGAATATAAACAAATGAATACACAAACTGTTTAAACTGGTGTTTAAAGGGATATTGATCGCAGAATTTTTCACACTGACTGAGAATGATGGCAGTCATATTCAAATTCCTCTGGAGATAAGCATGACTCTTATAGAGGATAGACCACAGATCTAAAGTACTCGGTGTTGATAGGTGAGAGAGATCAAACCTAAAGCCTTGGTTTGTGAGATATCTCAACTTTCAATGCCCTTGGCCTGCTCATGTCCTATTGAAAATTTAGAAGAAGTTGTTGGAGGACATTATTTGTTGGCTTGATGTCAAGTATTATCAGTAGACTAATGATGATAGCTAATCTGGACCTTTGGCTGACCAAGTGATATTGTTGAAATATTTGATTTTTCACTTTGGTCATAAGATGGGGTTGCACTGTCCTGCTTAGGATTTATCTGCAACAGGGGGAAATCTTCCTGTAATCTCAGCTCTTGCTTGAGAAGGAGATAGCAACTATAGAAAAGCAGGCCTTTGCATTGATTCATCTTGTGCATCAGATGTATGCTTATTGGACTGAGAGGCCATTCTCACAATCACAAGGCCATTAGCAAGTTATGCCTGGTCTAAAAGGCAGCAGCACCAGCAATGACAGGCAGCTTCACTATACCCATTCCTGATACATGAGGTGCACTTGTTGTCAGCCGGCTTCCGGTGAAGTCAAAGTGCTGGTTGTCACCTGCATGGCTTTGTTACTTGAGGGACTGCCCGTCTCCCCATCCTATATGCTCTAACAGGTTAGTCTGCTCTGGGTTCCATCACTTAAACAGTGCTAGTTAATAGAATCCAGAAAGTTGACCTTCTCTGCAGGAGATCCATGTGGCTCCTACAGTGCCTGTCTTCAGGCAATCTTTGAAAACTTGCTTGTGTCCCAGGCCTGAAGTTAGATGGGCAGAGTAGATCCTTTTAGTGGCAAATATGCGTAATTGGTGTTCTGATCACAATAAGGTGACTATGATCTTGACTTTGATGACCACCTCCTCCAGATACCATGACACTAGGGCTTGCATCAGTTTCTGTTGTGCATTGGCTCCTAAAGAAAAACAATTAGCTGTCAAGTACAGAGGATACGGACTTTGGTTGAATTTTCTGATGAAATGTATTTTTAAGTATTAAGTTTTAAGTATTTTTAAGTATTAAATATTTTTCAAATTTATATTGCCCCCATCTTGCAAAACAAGCAACTTTTGGCAGCATACAAAAAGTTAAAAAGCAATAGTATGAAAATAACAACTATTATCATTATTAAAAACACTAGAAGCTACAAAAATAGAGCCAAAATGGGTAAAAGAATGTGAGTAATATTGATCATAGATGGAAATGTTAAAACTGTAAATCAGTTTGCTTCAGATGAATTCCCCCTCCCCACTACATATTATAATAGATCAGTGAAAGTATCATCCCTGGTTGGCATTAACCAAGATTTTTTAAAAAACTGCTGTCAGGTTTAAAGAGCAAGACTAAGATCCATGGCAGCCATAAATCTCTCTTGCTGCCAAAGCAAGCTGATGAGAGGCAGCCTGATGGAGTACCCTCCCTTGCCATGCTGACCATGGGCATTAATTACTTCTCTTTGCCTGCCCTCTAAGAGAGTTGCAAGGTGGAAGAGCCAACACTCTTTATCTGCAACCATGTTGCTATAGCAGCTAAAGCTGCTGAACACAAGCTTTTTTGTTAAAACTCATGGACTGGCTCCAAGTTCCCCCTCCCCTTCGTCAGAGGTTTCACAAGTCTCTGAATTACGCATTCTGCCTGCAGGAAAGAAGAGCGAAGCTCTGGGAGGCCCGATTGTGCCAGGCTGAGGTTACAACCCTCACTATGGTGACCACCAATGGTGAGGTGGTTCTATGCACCTTGGCACCAGCTATTTGCATGCAATGGGCACAAAAGGCAGCTCCCTTTCAAGGTCCCTTGCTGTTGGAGTTCAAAGCTGTGCTGTGGATTCCCTGACACAGAGGGCAGCACCTATGATTCCTTGAAATTGTGAGAAGAGCCAGTCTGCTGATCTAAACTTCAGATTGATTGTCCACATTTGGACTTCGAGAGGAAACTGTGATGGCATAATTGCCCTCTGTTACTTAGAGATCAGAGTTCAGAAAATGCCCCCTCCAATCTTACTACATTTTTCTCTGGAGAAGTTCCATTAAGAAAAGAAAAAAAGGATGAGATGGAATAATGCAGTGTCTTTGAATGATTGTGCTAGAGGCCCTCCAGTGGCAGTATAATGCTACAATCGATATGCTGTTCCAAATATCTGATTTCGTTGTCTACTCTCCCACTTGCATTCCAAATTGTAAGAGTGCATTATAGTTCCATTTACTTCTGGAAATGCATTGCATGTGCCATGCTAGTCCTAACATTGATCTTAGCTAGACTGGTAACTTTAGATGAGCAGAAGGCAGCAATAGCTATCACCATGAGTAAACCCGATCCCATCAGTATCCATTTTGTTATCCATTTTGGGGAACAATATTTAATCAGGATTACTGCAATAGATGTGAGGCTGTCATGGAAGAACACATTTTGTAATTTCAAATACTGCACAACGTGACAGCCAAATTGGGAAGTGTCATTTAGGAATGTAAGCATATAGTTGAGGCCTTTTCCCTGGCTACAACTTTTTGTTCAGACAAAATTCACATGACAGTAACAATTTGCTCTCATTTGTTTTCATGCAGTTCTGCTGGTTTCTTTTAAGGCTTCAGGATTCTCCTCTTCAGACACGAGATTATTAATGACTGGAAAAGGATTTATTTGCAGACTTTCAAATACCCTCCCCTGGATTATCCATCAAGTTGGAATAAGTGGGAAATTCATATTTAAAGGCAAATTTACTTTATTTCACTTTTGAACCACTGTGTGATCCACATATAAATCGTTGATTAGAGTTAATATTTTCTGAAGTTGCTATTCATAAAAAGAGCAATTTTACAGAAAATAAAGTAGAATGCACACAAGATGTATTATATTAAACTGCTTGTACAAGTGCAAGCATTTGGCAAATTTGCATATAGAATTGTATATATTAGAAAAAATAGATGTGTATATGGGACAAAATGAATTTGAGACAAAAATGCTGAGAACAGAAATTACAATAGTGATACGTTCCTTTGTTAAATATATATATTTACTTTCTTTTAGACATCAGTTTAAAATATTGTTATTTGCTCAGGACTTGTTTCATTGAATTGTCTTTATCATTCAACAGATTGAACATTTTAATTCAGATAATAGTTTCCTTCATTGTGGCAACTTGAGCCTTTAGTTTCTAATAAATATCTGGTTACACCTTCTGTAACAGAGAACCCCTTGAAAATCAAAATAGTGTGTGTGTGTGTGTGTGTGTGTGTGTGTGTGTGTGTGTGTGTGTGTGAGAGAGAGAGAGAGAGAGAGATTCTTTCATTTGTTTCAAATCTGTCAAGTATGTTCATTTCACTGTGATGGCTTTTGATTCTAATTTGGAATTTGCACCAAAGATTTATGTTAAGTGATAACTAAATTTCTTTATATTTTTTCTAAATTTTTGATGCTTGCATCAATAGAATTTTACATAGATGTTCTAGCACTCATTTAATTGGGTGAGCTATAATTTTGTGTATAACCGATATCAATCGGAGACCTTTTTGCTAGTCAATTACTGGCGGCCAAAACTCTATCAGCATGCATGTGAGATTATAGCTTTTAAACATAATTTATATTTACTTCTATTAAGCCTCATTTACAAGTCTAACATCCATTCTTCCAGTCTGAAGTGATCTTTTGGGAGCTTTTCTTATTTCCTGTTTCATTACTAAAATGATTTTAAGATATGAGAAAATCCATCAAACTACTCACTTTTCCTAATGGCAGACAAGTTACTAGCAACTTAACAAGCACCAGTCTAATATCTAATGTCTGGTGCTTAATTAACGTGGGTATATTACTTACTATAATACATGAATCCAGTCTTTATATAGCTTTAAAATGCTTAAGAATACTGAGAACATGACAAGAGTTTGCTTGCAGTAGGAAATATTAACTAGTCTTTAA